TAAATTATATAAAATTATATACATGCTTGGACTTAAAGCAACAGAGCTAATACAAAAATAAATAAATAAAGCCTTTGGACCCTGAACTTTTTCCTAGTAGGAAGTAAGCTCAGAAGGCTTTTCAATTGTAAATACAAACTTCTTTTTAATTGGCTGAGAAAAGAAGCCTTAAAAGACAAAACTTAAAAGCCCAAAGAGTGGGGCCACGCTCCAGAAAGAACAGCTATGAGCCATAATTAAGGAATTATTAACATGTGCCCAGTTGGATATCAAAATTGCTACAGGCCAGCAACTGCTATATCTTCTCATAGTTCTCTACTCTTGAATGAAAAGGTCTATTGCAATTGTCATATTCCCATCTTACCATTGTCTTTTTGGGGGTGAGAGGTGGAGGTAGATCATTTGTCTAATTAGTTAATTGGTCCTCAGGAAGAAAGAAACCATGCCCAAGACACCAAACCCAACTATTCTCATCTGCCCCCAGACCTAAATTAGATGGTGAGATCCTGCACCTCAAACTTGAGTCTGATGCTATAATGAATCAAACTTACTGGAGAGTGCATTTTACATGTGAATGAATGTAAGTAATTTGTGACCAGAGAGCAGACTGTATTGATTTTCAAAAAAAGTCCACAAATTTTTTGACAATCCCATCAAGAGATTGGGTCTATGCTCTCTTCAATCAAGTCAGAATCATCCTTAATGACTTAACCTGTGCCTATTAAAAAGCAGTAAAAGTGATGCTGTGTGGCTTGTGAAGAACCGATGTTCTTCCAGTATATCACAGACGTCAAAAATGGTCATATAGCTTCTACTTAGTTCTTCTGAGACATTCCCCTTTGGAGCTACCTCACCATGTAAGAAGTCCAACCACTCTGAGGCCACCATGCTTTGAGCAAGCCCAGGATATGTGGGAAGGCCACATACAAATGCTCTGACCAGCAGCCTGAGCTGGCATCACAGCAGACTGGCAGAACAACCAGACACAGTGAAGATGGTCCAGGGGATTCTGCTTTCCAGCAGGCGAGTCACCCCTACTCATCAAGTCTCCCCAGCTGAGACCCTGACATCAATGAGAAGAGACACTGTGCCCTTTCAAATTCCTCACCCACTGGAACTTTTAGTTATGCCACAAATTCTGGAGTTCATTATGCCATAATAGTAACTGGAACAATATTATAAAGGAAGAGTTCATACTTCCAGTTTCAAACAAGAAAACCAGGGTAAAGAGAGGGTAAGTAATAAACCAAAATCGTATAGAAAAGCAAAGCAAAAATTCGAAAGCAAATCTATCTGATTCTAAAATCCATGTTTATATCCATAAAACTACACTATTTCCCAAAGATATACCTATCTCTTTGTCTTTTCTTATTAAAACTTCCCCTGCGGAGGATTATATGCTCACATTCAGCTTCTTCTCTGAGACCAAATCATCATTCGGGGACATGCTCAGTCCTATCTTCAGGACACAGATACCTAGACCTAACCCTTAGCAAGTTCTCCATCTTCAAAACTGCCTTTAACTTATTTCCTATAGCTTTGACAGTTATTGAGGGCTAGTAACACTAATTAATTCACAATTGGTAAATTCATTGCTTTTCCAATGCACATTCCTTATTTACCCTTTTGAATTATGTCCTTTGTCAGAGGTTTGAAATCCATATGTCTACAGAATGAAAGCAGGTAATATACACTAGTGAAGTGGACTAGATGCAAAAGCGCAAAAGTGTTCATGGCTAAGTTACACAGGGAAGTAAATGCCCCATGTACATAGGTCAGCCACTCTCACCTTACACATGCATATATCACCAGACATATGACACATTTATTTGTTTAGTGTCACTGTCTCCTCATTAGGATGTAAGTTTCTTGAGAGTAGAAACCCTGTCTCCTGTGTTCCCTGCCATATCAGCAGAGCCTAGAACAATACCTGACACTCAGTCAATACATATCTTTTGAAGAAATAAATGAAAGAGCAAATATTGCCATATACTTGGGAAAAAACATTTCCATTGTACCCTATGCTGCTAGCTGACCCAAGGCAAGTCAATCATCATCCGAAGATGTAAAAGGAAATGAGATGTCTTGGTATTCCTTTTCTGTGTAAGGTCCAATGTGTACAGCCTCGAAATATTCAGATATTACAAACATCAGAGGAATTCAACTTATCAAATGAGTATAAGTCCCAAAAAGTATAAGTTCAAAAAGGGCCTAGTGACCTCCTCATTTTTTTAAGAGAAGTCAAAAAATAATTTTATGTAAAATTTCCCAATTTCTAAATTTTGTCAACTAGTGATAAAAATGTTAATCCATGTTAGGGATGGGTAAACAAAACCCGTCTGCAGGCTTAGATTCAAACTGAAAGCTGCGTTTGCAATCTCTGTACCAGAGGGATCTTAGACTGTTTTTTATCTTTCTAATTACTTGGAATCATGCCTTGCAGAGTGTAGATAGCTTGATAAACAAATAATGATGATGCTTCAAATATGCACACTTGAGGCACTGCTACAATTAAGTTATGTATTAAGATGCCACTCAAGTTCTTCTCTCCTATCCTGAAGGAACCTGCCTCAGCTTCCGATCCAAAATGAACTCCTGGACTTCACATAAACTCCCCACTTCCAAGATTTTAGAACTAAACTTCTACTTCTTCTAGCTGTTAAGAGTTGAGTAATGTCATTCCCATGGGCTCCCAGTAATAAAGAGGAAAAGCAGTGGAAAGAAAATAGATTGGATTTCCAAAGAGTGACAGAAAAAGAGATCCAGGCTTTAAAACATATTTCCACAGTTGATAAATAAGGGCTCCCAATGGCAATTTTGTTTTCCTTTCTACACTTCTCAGTGTTGTAGATTATACAATCCAAAAGTTTACTTCAATTGACCTTTCAATGTTTTCTAGTAGCATGTTTTATCTTTCCTATATAAAAATGAGTTAAGGGGGACTTTTTAAATGTTTACCAATTACTTAGATTCCTAACTCTAATACAGAGTCATGTCTAAATAATTAGAGTGTGTTGGGTCATTTGAACATGGGTCACTTAACAGCAAGCATAACTGTGAAGGGCTGAGTACACTTTTAAGAAAACATACTTGGGGAAAAACAAAACAAAACATTTCCATTGTACTCTATGCTGCTAGCTCACCAAAGGCAAATCAATCATCATCTTCCAAAGACGTTAAAAGGAAACAAGATGTCTTGGTGTTCCTTTTCTTTATATGGTCCAATGTGTACAGCCTCGAAATATTCAGACATTACAAACATCAGAGGAATTCAACTTGCCAAATGAGCATAAGTCCCAAAAAGTAAAATGTCATCCACTCCTCTGCAGCCAGCATTTAAGATGTTATTTTAATGATTATATAGATGCATTTATATATAGAATTTTCAATAATGGCGTGAATTTTGTATGCAGGCAGATTTCATATTTTAAAACAAGCTCCACAGTGCTTTAAATTGAAAGTAACAGTGAGAAACATTTATTTAGCCAAGCCTATATTTCAAAATTTAGGTTATTATAGCTATGAACTTTCTACAGAATAAGAATATAGATTTCTATTCACATATTTTGTTATGTTCAAGCAACACTGAATCTGATAGCCACTGGATGGGAGAATCATTGCCTGAATATCATTATAGACACACAAGTGAAGTGATGAGACAGAGCTCCTAGGACACACGACAGAAAAGCCTAAAATTTTAAATCAGACCAACAGAGGTTTGACTTGCAGCTCCACCACTTGCTTACTTTGTAACCAACCCTGGAAAAGTACTTAATCTCTTTAAGCCTCGATTTACTCATTTGGAAAAATGGGATCATAATACCTTGTTTTAGGATTGGCATGAAAATTAAAATAAATGCATATTTATTGTGTAATCCATTGAAATAAGGAGGAAATTGCTAACTTAGCATGGCTGACCTAGCCTCACTAATTAAATGCAGTAGGATGCAGTGACTAGAACACTATGGTGTCGCAAACAGTAGCTGTCATAGAGAGTCCAATTGATTCTTATTATAAATTTAATGCAAACAATAATTCTCTAGGCTTTCTATTACTACCCTTCCCTAAGAACATATTTTTTATACATTTGGGTATGATGGGCTAAAAGAAGCTCTTCACTGTACAGAAATTCTAGCATATTGGCAGAACATATATGTACAAAAATGTTCACTGAAGCATTGCTGTTAATTTACTGAAAATCAAAAAAATAAAAATGTTCATCTATAGGAAGATGACAAATTTTGATGTATTCACTCAACCATTCTATTCAGATAAACCACAAAACCATAACTTTAAGCAAAAAGAAAAATGAAATGAAAATAAGTTGCCAAAATGCAATCTATAATATAAAACCACTTATATGAAATTTTAAAGCATGACGTGTATTGTAAATGAATCTATACATAATAATTACAAAATAAGATACATGGCAATGGCAGGACGTCAGTTCAGGAGAGTGATTATCTCTAAGGAAGAAGGCAAGACGTGAGATCAGACAGGGTGCATGGACAGCTTCAGTAGATAGCTCTATCCAATATGTTTCACTTCTTCAAAAATTAATTAGAATGAAGCAAAGATGGTAAAATATTTAGATTCTATAGGCCTGGCTAGTAGGTATATAGAGTGTATTATGTTATTTCTCTACATTTTCTGTATATTTGAAATGTTTCACAATAAAATGAAGCAGCTTTCCCAATCATATAAATATTTCCCAAACAAACAACAGCTATTCCAGAGATTCTCAGGAGAGAAAGAGGGACAGGGATAATGGGTGGGGGCTGTGGGGATGGTGAAGGAATAACAGATCTGGGTATAGAAGAGACATTGTTCTCTGAATCTTTGAAGCCTGGAAGGTAATTTTTCTCCCAAGGGTTAGGGAAAGAATTCAGCTATATAAATGTGAGGAGGATGGGAATAATTAATTCATTGTTAATCCAGAAACCAGATTACTTTACAGAGTGTATATAATCCAAAAACATCATTAAGTTTAAAATACTTACTACAACCCCACTCTTGGTGATAGTTTCTCTGTATGTGAAGTTGCAAATAGCCCAGGCTAGGTAATATGTGGACATGAGAGGGGTCTGTGAAAAATGATCCGTCACCCATCCATCTTCCTCAAACACGGAAGTTTCCACTGGCATGTTGGATAAAGATAAGTAGGTTGCTTGATGCTTGATGCTGATTTTAAAAGTTGCCTTGTAGATGGGCTCATCAAAACAAGGAAATGCTTTTCTGGCATGTGTAGGCGAAAACTGAGTAACACCAAGGAATCTGAAAAACAGAAAATGACATTCCCTATTACATTCATGGCTTCAGTTATAATCACTTTACATGCTTCTGTTGATAACATATTATTGCCAAACTCCAAGGTACTTTCCTTTTCTGAACCAAACTTAAGTTCATATATAGCATAAAAGCACAATACATATATTTCCTCAACAATAAAAGTTCTTCAGGGAAGTTTCTGTCTCAATTAAAGTAAATCCTCAATCCAGAGCCGTGCCTATTAGACAAAACGCTATACAGAAAAAAAAGAAAAAAAAACTCATTGGCATCACATTGGCAAACACTGGAAAATAATAATCTTCTTGTCTGGCATGCCTCCCTTTCCTCCCTAAAGCTGAACAACACTTAAAGTCAGTGAAACTAAAATCCAGAAGTTGTCATCACGTATGTATAGAACTTAGACCATCACTGGGAAACATCTGTGTCCTCAAATTTCATGATTTTAGTAAGAACATGGACTTTGAATTCTGACAGAACTTGGTCTGTATTCTGGCTCTACAACATTCTTAGCCATATCATCCTGTACAATTACTAAATTTCCCTAAAGTGTAGTTGTTTGTTGCTTAAAATAAAATAATCTTGCTTAACTCAAAAAAAAAAAAAAAAAAAGCTTTTATAAAGCTTAGGGTGGGAAAAAAGAGAGTGTGAAGCACCTATCATGGTGAATAGATAGCACCCAGTATGCAGTTAATAAACAGCAGCCAAACAAAAAATGGCAGCCACTGATTGACAATGTCTTCAAACTTTCTTAGAGTGTTGTAACATATGTTTACATTGAGTAATGCAGACACCATTGCTTTTTACTACTCATAACATATATTTTTATATTATGATATTAATATAATAAATATCTGTATAATAAACTTGTCAATGTGTACATACAAAATATATGTAATGCCCTCAAGTTTTCAGATCAAGCTGCAAAACTGCTTATTAAAATGCTAACTAGAAATAACTTTTTTTTTCACAGTTTAGGGTTACAAATGAAAATGCTCATATTAAGGACTTTAAAAAGGATACTCTTAACTTAAAAAGGTCATTATTTATAAAAAAATTCATGACAAGAGTTCATTACACTTTTTTAACAATACGAGCTGCAAAACTTAACATAACGCAAGTCAATATTAGACCCTCAGTAAATCATTACTGAGTTCTAAAGTTATTTCTTTAAAAAGCTCTTTCCCTCTTCAGTAATTCTGCTATCTCTTCCCTCACATGGCACACTTTCCTACTGAGCCTGAACTTGGCCTCAAAATTCTCAGCACAGCACTTCAGGCAGCTACTACCAATCAATAGGTGTTGATGTGTGTGTTGAATCTTATTGGCTATCCTTGGCTCAAACCAGGAGTTGTAAATGTTTAGGCCATTTTTAAATGATAAAGCTTACATTTGTCATTGAGAGCCTACCTCTCTGAAGCTTCATTTTGAAGTAGGGAAAAAAATAATACATTTTTAAGATTAATTGTATAGTGACTTTCAGAGAAAGAGTTTTTGATAGTTATCTTGGAAACAGTACTGGACTGATACATACCAGGCTTGGATAAATCACTTAACTGCCTGAGACTATTTTTTCATTAAGAGAAAGAAAACAATAATGTTTTCTAGGACTTCCTTACAAAACTATGGAGACGATAAAATGAGACAATATATGGAAAACAAGTTTTAACTATAAATCTTCAGAAAAATATAAGGTTAAAGTTGGAAGCAATCTTAGAAACAAACTGTCCAACTCTCATGAATTTCTAAAATGAAAAAGTAGTTCCAGTAGGAGTAAGTGATTTGTCCAGAGTTACATAGGCAATTAGTGCAAAACCAGGTCTAGAATTCACTTTTTCTATATCTGAATAAAAGGTAATTATATTTCAAAAAAGTAAAATTAATCTTTAGCCATAATTTGTAAACAATGTTTTGATTCAACTGTTGGTAATAAAAGTTCTCTCCAAATTTTCCAGTCATGGTAATATTTTCCCTATTATTTTTACTGATAACAGTATGATTTTTGCTTAAATATCAGTACTTTTTAGTTAAAATGTATCCATTTATAATTTCCTCATCACATATTTTTGTCTTATATAATGTTCTTGAACCTTATCTTTCAATATCATTAATTAAAATGTCCACCAAGCTTGATATTTCTCTACTGAGGCTACTTAAAAAATATTTATGAGAATTTATATATGAAAAAAGTATTCTCTTTTAAAGTATCTGAGAACTCCAATTCCAGTTATTGCACAATTAGATATTGTCTGCCCTTCATTATTAGGTACAATTTTTTTAAAGATATAACTATTGCCCTTAAGTTCTTTGCAAACTAATTGAAAAGAATATCTTTATTTATTAATATATATTCTAATACTAATAATACTATGGGGAAGGTTCTATAAGAGTTCAACAGAGTGGTTGCAATTAGAATGTATTAGTCATTATATAAAAGTCAAAGGTGTCTTTAGCACTAAGTAATTAATGGGTAGGAATTTATTAGATATAGAAATTCTAAATGCCTTTGGGCTAATGGGAAATTAATAACCAAATAATTAATAAACCAAATTATTATAAAAAAAGAATCACATCTTTTTCCTTATATAGTAAGTAAATATGTTAGTAAAGCTAGCAATGTAAATAACTGATTCTCAGAGTTGAAAGGAACAAAAGAAATCATTTAGTGATTTTTTTCTGCAATTAATATTCTTAATGAATTCATACATACAGTATATATATATATATATATATATATATATATATATATATATATATATACAGAGGGCCAAAATATAAACTGATAGTATCTAAATGAGAAAATACCAATTTCACAGTCTGGCACCTAAGGATGATTGCAATTGAATTTCAATTCAATATTTAGAAAATCAAAAAGAAGTCCCTTGGTAAAAAAGAACAGTAGGGTTAGATTACATGTAAGGCTTTTCCAAGTCTGAGATACTATAACTGAACAAAACTTAAACATAAAAATTCCAGGAATTTGATGAGGTTATTTACACTTCCACTAGGTAGCTTTTTCCTATAAGTTCTATAATGCATCTTCTTCTCATTTGTTGAGTGTTTTATATTGAGTAGAAATACCTTTGCTTTCTTCCCTCAAGGAGTTTATTCTCTAAATAAAATAAATAAAATATATACTTAAATAGGCCATGACAAAGAAGAGAAATATAGGAAGAAATTACATTCCTCTACAGCAGGGTTTTTCAATGTCAGCATCACTACACAGTGTGGATTGGTAATATTCCTTATCTGGGGCTGAACTATGCACTGTAGGATGCTCAGCAACAATATCCCTGGCCTCTACCACTAAATGCCAGAGGTACCACCTCTTCCCAGTTGTGATAACCAAAATGTCTCCTGACCTTGCAAATGTCCCCTTGGGGGACGAAACGGACCCAATTGAGAACTACCAGCCTGAAGAACTAAAGGAAATATAAGAATTGGTCTTGGAGTCCAGGTAGTATTTTAAGGGTCAAAGACAATGGAGAAGTGAACAAGTTGACTCTGGGCAGCACTAAAATAAGCCTTTAAAACCACTTTGACTCACATACTGAGTTTGTGACCTTTCTGCTCTCTTATAGCTTGTAGGTTTATCAGATCTCAGTATTGCCAGTCCATCTCTAACACCTCTCTCACCCCTGATACTCTCCTTTCTAACAAGGAGGTCTGATTTCAGGCTCAGTGCCCAATAGTGACTGCTGGGTTTCAAAATATAATCTAGTCTTCACTGCATATACTTTACAGTTGTCTTCAGTTGGTGGAAATAAGACTTTTTTTTTCTGCTAACTGGCATTAAAAACATCAAAGAGGGCTCTAGAGAAGGTGATTTGGGGTAGAAAATAATAAGTTTGGATTTAAATAAATTTAAGTGAGTATGAGGTAATAGGTAGCAGGACACCAGGTAGAAGAAATAAGAAAATATCATTAAAAATAGAAAACCTTTTAATATATCAAACAGATATGAAATACCTGTGTAAATACAACAAGAAGTAAAATAAAACAGCAGGGGGCAGAAGTTAATGGGGAAAAGTATTTTGTTATCTGTTGTTTTTTCCTCTTGCTTTTTTAAACAAAATCATTTTTTAATCCTTTAATGAATCCCTCTATGACCATAAAAAAAAATTCCACTTCCAAAAGTGACATCCTGAAAGTGTCATTCCAAGGATGTCACTTTAGCATAACTAGAAAAATATGGATAACAAACCTGCATTTTAATTCTCTTCTACCCAAAATAAATTACTTGATTTCTTAACAACTTGCCTATTTGACATTTTGGTTGAGCTAAGGAGAGCTTAAAGCTCTGTGTTGCCTCTGAAGGATATAAAGAATTGATTTCTTCTTATTTCTGCGGAAGTTCACCAGGCAATCTACTTGTGTCAGGTCATTATGATAAGATTCAGCAGAAGTATTGCATTAATGTTGGTTGATATTGCCAAGAAATTACAGTATGTGATACAAAACCATTTCTGTTCCATGATTTTCAGTTTGCCTTCTTATAAAGTTAAAATATGCAGAGACAACAAACATTTGCATAGCACTATTCGTATTAAAAATTGATTCATGACTTTTCACTCTGGAACCCACCAAAACCAAAAGAACTTCACAAATGGTGTGACGCATTTCAGAGGTTTCCATTTTGGCCACTTCTATGCATACCACACACACAGCGCAGTGAAAAACAGTCTTTGAACTTGCTTCTCTTGAGATTGCAAATTGCCTCGCATTGTCATAGTTTAATATTGGTAATAATAAAAAATAAAAACTACCAAGATCTAAAGAAAAGTTCTAATGGCAATCTAGTTACTATTCAACTGTTTATAGTAAAATGGGCTCAGTTACAAGGTCATGTGGAAGTTACACATGCCCCATTTAAAGTTAAGGTTGTTAATCAAAATGCAAATTATTGCTCAATGAGAAGACATTTTAAGTCAAAAAGCATGTTGTTTAGACTGTGTGTTTTTATGTACTTCAATGAGTCATTAAACCTC